CAAATTCACTCATTCGTTCACGGTCTATTGAGGCGAGCGCGCGTGCGCTGTGTTAAAAAAAGAAAAGTGTATTTGTGTGTGTATAAACATGTTCGTGCAAGTTTTGTTTGTGTTTTTCCTTGCGTATGCGCATGGTTTGCAAGTGAATACTACTGAGGGTATTGTTGAGGGATCTAAAGCAGTTGATGGCGATTATTTTGCGTTTTACGGTGTTCCGTACGCCGGGCCAACGTCTGGGCAAAACAGGTTTAAGGTGAGGTAATCTTAGGCCGTATTGAAGCAGGTAATCGAGTCTGTATGTATGTAGTATGGAGTATGGACGAAGATCAGTTCAATAATACGGAGTTTTTGTTTACCTACATACTGTACTGATCTTTTAGCTTCTATTCACCCAGTCTTCATCAGTGTTGTTATCAGTCCATTCAAATTCTTTCTCATTTCATGTTTCTTAAAATAACTATTGCTTGCTATGCACTGGGATTTTATTTTTAAAGCAATTAGGTATAGCGGCCAGAAGCTGCAGATCAAGCTATTCCAATCTGTTATTGAATTTTCAACTTTATATCAATAATGTTAAAAATAATAATGCAAAGGATAGGTTGACCTGGCCACCGTACTTACTTAAATTGTTCTTTGTATTTTGGCAACTCAAAAAAGGACTTTATTTTAAACAGCATTAAACACATTTTTATTTGATAACATTCCCACCATTTTAAAACACTGTTAGTCTGTAGATACTAGATTTGTTTGTTATTTAGTTTAGATGGTGCGGTTTTTTCCTTATCTTGTTTGATTACCTATTTATACCTACAAACGTCATACGAGTTTAGTAAGATATTATAAAAACAATATTGTACTTAGCTGGACTGCTACCTTTTTAAGCAAGTCCTTTAATTCCAAGTCCTTTAATGTCTAATCACTCATCATCATAATCAGCGGGAGTACGTTCCCTTCTTAACAAAGAGGCATTTTTAGAGAGGGTTCGCCACTATCCCTAAGCTTGATAGGCCTTTCGTGGATCCTAGATCATCATCAACAGCCTATAAATGCCCACTGCTGAGCAAAGCCTCTTCTCACACGGAGAAGGTTTGAGCATTAATCACCACGCTTGCTCAATACGGGTTGGTGATTTCAAACTTATAATTAGAAATTATAAGCCTAGATTTCCTCACGATGTTTTCCTTCACCGTTTATCAGTGGTGTCGGACTGTCTGAATAATCTTAGAAAGTACACATAACTCGGAAAAAGTCACATTGGTACTTGCCGTTGGTAGGTTTCGAACCCAGTTGAGGGTGCGTGAAACGTGAGCGTCTTAAACCTCCAGGCCACCACGAGACGAGGGTCCTAGATAGGTTACCCTATATCTATAGTCTCTGCTGCCAATTAAGATATAGTCGCATACCTGATAAACAGTAACAATAGTGATTTGAGGTTTATAATTATAGTAAAACGTGTTTCAAACAAAAAATAGGAGTAACTTCTAGATTAGGGACTTTTATTAACTTCTAGGGTTTAAAGTGTTAAAGCTCCACGGCCTCACAGAAAACCGACGTGAAACAACGCTTGCGTCTTGTCCCCCCCCAAAAGACCGATAACGTACTTGTAAAGCCTCTGGTGTTCCGGGTGTCTATGGGAGACGCCGATTGCTTACCATCAGGTGATCCTTGATGATATGGATGGAAACATGGTATGGATGGACACATGTACCTACCCTACTTTTTTACCAAAAATACATGTTTTACTAAAAACAAATAGGTAATAACTAGCTAAAAGTGTGTGACATTATTATGGTTGTCGACGTACACACACTCACACACCTATGTCTTGTGGAATAACTTAGCATTACTTGCATAATATAGTGATGTTATTACACGCAGTCATTTGCTTTGTAATTAAAATTATGTACAGTGACAAAGATGCAATCTTCTGGATTATTTCACAATTTTAATAAATGTGAGTCACAAACATTAGGTAGTTATTGTCTGAACTTAGTTATTGGTATCATTGTAGGACATTCCCGTAAATTCAAATATTGCAATTCATTACACTATTGCGTATTTCACCGATAAAATCTGGGTTTTCCCGTCTTTTTTGGTTTGTATGTTCATCGTGTAAATCTTGGCATTATAGTTAGGAACACACAAATTAAAGTAAACACAATCTAATGTGATGTATTATATCCGTACATCATATTATGTTTGGGAGTAGAAGATATTTATACTTAAAATGTATTCGTAAAATGATAATGTACGGTAATATTGTCGACTTACTTCAGTCTACCAATCTTTTTCTTTGGATTATCCTCTTTATAAATATCAATTAAAAGTTAAAACTGACTGCCTCGTTGGCTAAGTGGTCGCAAGTGCGACTGCCGGGCTTCGGGTTCGATCCCCGGGTCGGGCAAACTGTTACTGGGTTTTTAAAAAAAATCTCAGTAGTAGCACGGAGTCTGGAATTGTATATGACAATTATAGGCTCACCCCCTATTACGTGGGACTCATAACATAAATTGTGAAAAGTGGGTGTTACATTGTACAGTGGCATTATGTGCACTTCTGCCTACCCCTTTGAGGATAAAAGGCGTGATATTATGTTAAAAGTTAAAAATCCAATTTTTTTAAATAGAAGTTGACATACTGGCGACTGTACCGATGCCTGTATGTTTATTTGTCCTTGAATTCCGATAAAACAACAGATTATTGTCAGTATTAAACCATGGCATCCGTGCCAAAATAATTTAATAGATATTTTAACTCCAGAACACGTCTATCCCAAAGGTCATTGGATGTGTGTCTCTTTAGCAAGGTCAAGAACACATTCACTCATTCTCTTTTTACCGACTTCAATAAAGGAGGTTCCCAGTTAACGTAGTGTGTTTATGCGCGTTTATCTCCCTATTGGCTGAACCATTTATGATACGGTTTTCGGAAAAGTGTTTTCTACACTTTTTTTAAGGGGGGGAATTAATCGAATGACTGCTCCCGCCTGGGTGAGGGCGAAAAACCACCCCGTTCCTTCTCCTGCACGTCGAGCCGGAGCCCCGGTTACCCGTTAGGTTCTCCGCGACAGGGATAAGGTTTTAGTATGTACCTATATTAACTCTTTGAGTACCGTCATTATAGACACAATTAAAGAACAATAAGTTGCAGTCACCGGTACCCTCGCGGTGTTTGACAGTTTAATTAACCGACTTCATTAAAAGGGTTGAAGTTTTTTTAAACGTAGTTTATAAAAGTATTATTTATAAGAACTCTTTGTTGCTAAGTGGTCGGAATGTTAGGACTACTGCCGTACGGGATTTCAGATTCCCTAGTCGGGCGAAGTGGAAGTACTACTGAGTTGAGTTTTTTCGGTTTTTCAAAATGTTATCAAAGAATTATACCCGCTTTTAAACTCACTCATATTGCGTACATGTTAAAACCTCCTTTTTTTATTTATTCGACAATTCTGATTATTTTCAAATATTTTAATCATGGAGTCTAAAATTAGGCTGGTGTGTAGTAATTAGCTTACTCATAGCACTCAAGGGATTATATCAGCTGACTGTTATCACTTTACTAGAAGATTAAGTGGATAAAATGAGGTAACGTTGAGAGGAGCACCTCTATTTGTGTCTTTATCACATACAGTAAACAGCAATCGTTTGGTCAATATACACACCTGACTTAGAAAGAAAGAAAGAAAGAAAAGAAACACGTTGACATACGTTCACGTTCATTGAATGGAGAAGTCAGTGTATATTCGAAATAAACTTTGCAATTGGGTACTTGCCATCAAGTCAAATTCAATACTTTTTTCGAACTGTCAAAAACGACAGTTTTCTATGAATTTTGTACCTACGAGATTGTATATTGTGACGTCACGTTTTTTGAGCGTCTAACAGGATACTTATTTCGTAAAAAATTGCTGGAAAATTGCTAAAATTAAGTTAGTCATAAAATCAATTAATGAAATTGTGATTATTTTTTTAATTATTCCATTGTATTGAATAGTACAAATATTTTTATTTTGATTAAACTGTCAAACACCGCGAGGACACCGGTGACCGCAACTTATTGTTCTTTAATTGTGTCTATAATGACGGTACTTAAAGAGTTAAGGCAAATATCCAATTATTTTTCAAGTGTCAATGTTACTTTTAGACATTGTTATTTCTTATATGTTCTGTGGTTATTTCTATTAGACTGCTGTAGGGACTGTATGTACTATTACTCCTATTTAACTCATAGCAATCGAAATTTAAATGCCAATTCAATTCTAGATCAGCAATTAAACATACAAACTGACAATTGAAACTCTATATCGAAAGCAATAAGGTATAAATTGCAATGTTAAATCGATCACTCGTCATCAAGGTGGTCCTAATTTGTAACTAGCCTAGTTTGTGCTAAATACGGGTTCGATTTGTGTCAACGCAATCTGTTTTGATTGGATCTGATTTCTGTATATGCAGTCTGTCTGTTTGTTGGTTTCACTCAGTATGTTCCCAACTTCTAGTTATGTCACAGTATAAACATATACAGTAGGTTGTCTAAGGCCGCCCGCCGAGTTATTAGCCTACTCTTGCGTTGATCCCCAGGGTTGTCACTTTTACTTTTAGTTAATATTTTCGAACAAGCAGCACTTGATCTAAATTTATGAAATGAAAAGCATATTATGATTGAATATTTTATCAATTTATAAATTTAGTTAAAATAAAAAGCTTATAAAAAGATTATTAACTTCTTAAAATAAACTTTAGCTCTATACATAGTATTCAGAAAGTAAAGGAGAACGGCAGATTTTGTACCGCTACGCTAAAAAAAGATTTGTCATTAAAAAATTGGGTCATTATAGAACCTCCTAAGTACGTTATGTTAGCATATTTAATAGATTTTTAAAACTTGGGAAACCCTAGAAAAACTGATATTCAATAATGATAAAAAGCAATCCATTATACGTAAAACGAACCGCGATTGACGTTTACAAAGTTGCCATGCGTAAAGATGAAATCAGAGCATATTGAATTTCGCTATTTCATAAACTCATTTATTTTAATATCTATCAATGAAATATTTTCCTTTCCATTTCAAACATTTTTATAAGTAAATATAAAAATCTACATCCAATCTAAATCTACGTTTACATGGATTATTAATGATAATTAACATTTTAACAAACTTGAATATTATGGCAATGTTGAACTGGCATTTGTCTTGATGACATTGACAATTAATTTGTCAATACTGGCGCATTGCTGTTTGTTTCAAATGCGATGTTATGATGTGTTTGTTGAATTTGAAGTTATTTTATTCATCTGGTGATACGCTGAGTTTGGGAACCGTTCCTCCGTAGCCCAAATTGGTATTATTGGCATCATTGTTGTGACAATTGCGAAAAGACACTTATTTACATTATTTTATGCAGTGTGTTGTTATTTGTCGCGATGATGAATTTACAGTGTATTAATTGCATTCTGAGTTTGTCGCACATGAGACGGCATGCTCTAGAAAATGAGAGTGAAGATTAGACGTGGTCAACAATATCCCAATGTGGACTTATCCTAGAGATGTAAGTACCTAGTTTACCCATAACATATCGAAAGTCACCATGTTCCTGAATAAAAGAAGGCGCATAGTGTTATCTACCCATAATGTATCATTTTATTCTTTTTATTCTAGATCTCTCCTACCGACCATATTTGCAATGCTTGCTGGCAATTAGCAATGTATCGGGATGTTGCTGAAAGTATGTCCAGCAAACAAATTGGTCACTGGCATGTTTGTGTCGTATATGGGTGATTCATTGCAATGATAAGGTGACGCAGGGTTTTAATTGAAGGCGCCAACAAACAGGAGTAAAGACTGGCTCATATAGTATTTGATTGGATTCAGCCACAAGAGGTAATAAAGCATAATTTAACCATACTATTATCTATATACAGTGTAATTAAAGTCAATATCATATTCTAATAATATTACTTATTTTAGCTTACTTCCCATGATGAAGATCATGTTCCATACTGACTGAGGACCGTACAAGAGTCGAAACTATAAAACCACAACCTGACATACCACCTCACAGTGTTCACTATCAGGAAGTAATGTATTATGTAAACATGGACTAAGCCTCACTTTAACATTGCCATTTGTAGAACAGATGAGGCCGGATGATGTTGTTCGGCTCTCAAAGCTTCAACAGGTATGCATTCTCAATATAATGTACCTACATAATTATGTATCTATGTGGAGTATATAAGCGGTTTCTAATAGGTTTATACTCATGTTATAATTATAATTTATTAATCTGTCAAACACCAAGCGGTCACTGGTGACCGCGACCTATTGTTCTTTAATTGTGTCTATAAAACCGGTACTCGACGAGTTAATTAGCATGCTGTTTGAGCTCCTATGATCTGTGTTATACGAATAACTATAATAAATGTTATAAAATGAAGTAATGTAATCAAATATTTATTTTTATCTTTTCCATTTTAAGATAGGGAATCAGACTTATTATTATAACATATAAAACTAAAGGAAAAAAATGTACTTTTGTTTACTTTATTTACAGTTATCTTACTTGTTTACAGATATCAGCAATTGATGTCTGCTGTACCTATGACACGGCCTGTTCTCTTTTTAGATGAAGTACTCCTAGAAACAACCTGAATACAGTGAAATAAAAGTATTTCAAAATAATACATTTGTTTTATTTTAACCTAGTAAGTAACTATATATTCCATCTTGATAAAAGTGATTTTAAGAATCAATCTATAAAATAAATGCCATATTTAATTTAGATAGCTTTAGTTTTATACCAAAAATGTTCATTTTCATTTTACATTTTCTTTAGTTGTAATGTGGTGGCCCAGAGGTTTAAGAAGCCCGCTTCTCATGCATGAGAGTGCGGGTTCGAAACCTACCAACGGCAAAGTACCTTTTGTCCAATGTGTCTTTTTTCCGAGTTATTGGTATATTCAATAATCTAAGAAAGTACAAAGACACCGCTGACGAATGGTGAAGGAAAACATTGTGAGGAAACATGGGCTTATAATTTCTTATTATAAGTTTGAATTACCAACCCACATTGAGCTAGTATGGTGATTAATGCTCAAACCTCCATGCGAGAAGAGGCTTCGGTCAGCAGTGGCCACTTATAGACTTAATGATGAAAATGTTGATGATTCTACTAATTTGACTTACTTATTAGAAATTAATCCTTACATGCGTGCTAAGCAACCAGTTTTCAGAAGAAATACTTTCTCAAAGAGCTAAGCTAAGTTTAAATCGAATTAACTTGAGACCCTTGAGACTATCTACCTGCAAGATTCAAGGTGAAGTGAGACATTAGTTTTATCATATCCGCCACAAGACTTCCACTGCTAAATGTAGGCCTTCTACCCAATGACAGTCGCTTACATTATGAATTTGCATTTTCGTAGGCACCTAAGAAATGAAAAAGATTGTGAGGCATACTCTTTAAAACTCTATAGGTGCATCATGCTTGCTGAATTAACAGGATCATTCCTAATTGCCTTTTGCGCTGCGACGCACCATAGGTTATTTTTTGGGTTTAAATTCTTGTTGTGTGTCGTAGCTAAATAAATGTTTTTTCTTTCTTTCTTTCTTTCTAATAATACAAAGTGTAATAGTCACTTGAGTAGCGAGCAGTATTTTTAGATTTTTGTTTTTTGTAAATAAACAACCACATGAGAGCACATTGACATTTTTCAGTTAACTGTCATCTGTCATTTGTAATAGATATTTTGCTTACGGTGGCTCTACACTTGACGTTGCGTATTTGTTGTGTTCGGCCAAAAAAGAACATGTTTGGAGGATTTATTCTTCTTTGTTTGCTATATATTTGCACGCCATTACATATAGAGATACTATTTGGACGCCATTTGTACGTAGTCTACAAATATTTGGACAAATGAAGCGACTACGCAATGTCAAGTGTGGTACCACCTTAACATACCTTTTGCACATTTTCAAAGTGAAATAACTTTTGAACCCCAAGTTCTAAAAATATGTAATTTTTTTCTAAACTTCATAATAAAAATATCTATCGTTCAGACTATTCACTTGGTTAAAACAATGACTAATACAAAATTTTATAGCGGTACAAAACTTCCATACAAACCTGCCATTCTCCTTTGGGAATACATTTATATGGAAAAATGCGACTCGGCTACGTTCTTAACAAATCAGATAAACTGTGAAATAAACAATACAATACCACATTTTCTTATAATATTTAATACCACATTTTCTTATAATATTTAAGTATAGTAGGTAATTACATTTCTGGTTGAGTAGGAACTATGAAGAATGATAAGAGTAAGAATAAGTAAGTAGGTATCTCATCATCAAGTACCTACAAATTATATTATGCTAGAAAAAGTGACTAGCTTACCTTTCCTGTTCAATAGGTACCTAATCTGAACAGAGACAGTTCTGAAATCAATCAATTATTAAGACACCCAAACACACAGCAATACGTTCTTCTACGATTATCAGACATTTTTTATTTCATTGAACAGTGCCGAAAAGCCGTGAAGCGCGCGCCAACCTCGTGCAGTGTTAGCCCTGCCTGGCGCACTGAGAAACGGGTCGAGATTTTGTTAAAGTGTGCGTGCGTCGACGCGTAGATACTATGGCGCACACATATAAGCCGCGCGCGGAGCATTTGTATGAAGATAACCTACTTTGTTCTTTATACTATGGTTATGTGTTATGTTAGGTGAATGATTATAGGATCATCCCTATTCCGCAAGGATACCTAAGGAGTTTTAAATTAAGAGACAGTTTTATACTCTCCAATCCTAAGATTTTTTTTTTTATTAAATCGTTGCCCCACACTAGGATTATCTCCTGTGTCGTGGGTGCGTTTACAAACATACAAGTTCACATTCACCTAACACCCGAAACATTAATTTGTGGATCACACAAAGTGTTGTTCCGTGCGGGAATCGAACCCGCGACACGTTGCACGGCAGCCGGTTTCCCAGCCACCACACCAACCGTGCAGTCAGAATGTTCGAAAGCTGCATAGCTCTTTATAAATCTTTGCAGGATTTGATAATCGCAACCCCTTGGGACCACACTTCGTCTCAACTATTTCTTTACAATTGTTATGTATGTTATTTAATCAAACGAAATATCAGTAAAAGAGAGAAGGCTATCGACACACACATTTATTGCTCTTCAATTGTTTTCCAAGTTCGCGGGCTCCGCCACGCACATAGATAATCCATCACCATAGACTATACTATGACCATAGAGTATACCACAGATACACAACAACAATAATATATATTGTGTAATATTTACCTATCACAAAATTTATTTAAAGCATAGTTTTATTGATGTAGATAATAATTCCGTCCATTAAATTCAAATTAAATATTATAAAAAGCCAATTAGATAAACCGATGACGTCATATTTAATTATTTAATTAACGCCCGAATACAGACATTTTGTTTGGAATTTTTTTTTAAGGGGGGAAATTTTGTGGGTATATAGATTTTAGTCGGTTTGCGGCAAGCGAATTTTAAAAAATATTCGAAGTTGTTTTCTTTCATTTCAAAAATAAAGGAATGTTTGGTTTGAGTAAAATTTTCTATCTAAAGTAATAAGAGTACTTCCCCGTTGGCTGGCATTACAAGATTCCACCCTGTATACTTTTAATATTGCTGATTGCACGATTGTTGCGGTGGCTGGGCAACCGGCTGCCGTGCAACGTGTCGCAGGTTTGATTCCCGCACGGAACAACACTTTGTGTGATCTACAAATTGTTGTTTCGGGCCTGGGTGTCATGTGTATGTGAACTTGTATGTTTGTAAACGCACCCACGACACAGGAGATAATCCTAGTGTGGGGCAATGTTTTATTAAAAAAAAAAATACCACAGATAGCTGAAGGCAGAAGTTAGTATGATATATCTGTCAACAACTCAACAATCACTCAGTACCGGTAACTTATTTTAGTCATATCGATACACAACGGAAATTATTGAAGAATTTATTGAATATCTGATACCTACACTGTGTCAACTTAATTCTTATAACAACGAAATTCTTGAAGAAGGAGCATTCATCCGTTCATACTCATACATACACAGCTAACTTGACAACTGTCTCCCATGGGGGTAGGCAGAGACTATAGAACGCCAATTGCTACGATTCCTACATACCTCTCTCGCTTCATCAACAGTCTTTTCATGCATGCTCGACAGTTTTTTTTTTAAGGGGGGAAAATCATCGAATGACTGCTCCCGCCTGGGTGAGGCGGGAGCGAGTGTCAGACTCTTACTGACTAAAAACCACCCCGTTCCTTCTCCTCCAAGTTGAGCCGGAGCCCCGGTTACCCGTTAGGTTCTCCACGACTCCGAATCGGCATCAGCCCTATTGGGCCCAATCTGTGGCGGTCTGATGGCTCTTAGAGGCGCGCGCGGAATGCGATCGTCCCGCGATCCCCGATGCCCGGTGTGTCCTTCGCGATGGCTGGGTTGCGAGGACGGTTAAGGATACTTTTAATCCATCCATCCGTTCATTCATATAAAACTGTCGTGGTTAGTAATAAACTGTAAAATTTATCAGAAAGACGGTGAATCAGTCGTTCACATACGTTTTATCAGACAACACAATATCAGAAACATATCTATACAAAGACATGACATAGATAATTTGTACACGAATTCAATCCTTTAATATTTATTTACGAGACGATTGAATCCAATAATATAGGTACAATATAATAATCTGATACCAAAGCAGGCTTATCGTTCATCCAAGGGGTAGATAACGATAAAATTTTGCTTGTAGGATACACATTTCACTAATTAATTATAGATGTTTAATGCAATTTCATTATCTTCCAAATGAGATAACTTTCGTACTTGTACAGACCACGAAACGGTAAATTAAGTCGTTAAAATATAAAAAAATGTAATAAAACGCATTCAGAGTAATAAGGACTATAAGGACTTGTTATCAAACACATAGCAAATACAGAAATCACGACACAGGAGAAAATCGTACTGTGGGGCAACGTTAAGAAAAAAATTAAAACATCGACACCCTGAAGTCCAGTACCTGATGGTTAATACTTAATTAAAATTAAAACCTGATCTAATTTGGGTATCCTGTCCAAAATCCCTTCCGACTATTTGAACAATAAAATTAACACAAATACAATAGTCAGTAAATGTGTAACACGGGAAACGATCAAACAAAACTTGGTCACGTAGTATACAAGCTTGTTTATGAAAATGGATAGCGTAGTTAACATGTAAACTATACTGTCGTTAACACAATTGATTTTCAGTTTTACAACTAAACAAATTAGAGTTTATTTTAGAACCATAATCTAGAGAAATTAAGTAATGGTATTGTAATTAAATACTATACCAGACTATACCTACAGATACTTGAGGCACATGCCTTCAATGTTCAATAGTTCGCCAATAATGAAAATTATTAGTTGCATCATTACAAAAATAATAAAACCTATCAACCAAGCAGGTATCGTACTTTATCTATGCTATAAGAAAGTTGTTTGTGTTCTTTATCTTCGTCGGTGGTCGCGCCTTCGTCTTATCTAATTCACATTTTATAATGTATACTCTGTTTGTATTCCAGATGCCGATGCCCCCGAAACCATTTCCTGGAGTGTTTCGAGCCACCGACAGCAACATATTCTGCGCCCAACCCTCCTCCCGAGGCCTCATTGGAATCGAAGACTGCCTGACATTGAGCATCTTCACAAGAAATGTCACTTCACCAAAACCAGTCGTCGTCTTCCTCAACTCTGATGAGTACACCAATACAAACAACCAACCCATGTCCTACAGAAGACTTGTGGAACAAAATATTGTTTTCGTGACTATGAATTTCCGATTGTCCATTTTCGGTTTTCTTTGTCTCGGCGTCCAAGAAGCACCTGGTAACGCGGGCTTAAAAGACGTACTCCAAGGACTCAAATGGATTAAATCAAACATTGCGAACTTTGGAGGAGACCCAAATAATGTTATTCTAATGGGGCATGCGTCTGGTGGTGCGCTGGTCGATCTCCTCACGCTGTCTCCTCAAATTGAGAATCTAGCGCATAAAGCTATAGTACTCAGTGGTTCTGCGTTAGCTCCATGGGCTGTAGGTTACGATCCTGTTGGATACGCCAATCTATTGGGAACGAAACTTGAGTACGACCACAAAACTCCCCAAGTATTAGCACAACGTCTAATCAATACGGACATTAATGTTTTACACACTGCATTGAATGACTTCAAGTTCTTTAATAACACGCCATTGTTCGCACCTTGTGTGGAGAATCCGAAACTTAGTCCAAACCACACAGTTCTTGGTGATGCTCCTATCAACATCCTGAGATCAGGTAAATACGTTCAGATTCCCGTTATTTACGGTTACACCAACAGGGAAGGAACTATGAGGGCTGAAGAGGCTGACTTTGGAAATTGGTTGACTTTAATGCAAACCAACTTTACCAGTTTTCTGCAGGTTGATTTAAAACTAGCAAATAACAAAACTGCTGTGGCAGCATCCATCCGTGACTTCTACTTTGGAAGCAGTGCAATCAGTATGGGAACTATTGAAGACTTTTTAGATTATCAAGGAGACACGCTAGTCCTCGTCTCTACCATCAGAGGGGCTAAGGAAAGAGCTCTAACTTCTAAGAGCGAAGTGAGATTAATGGAATTTGCTTATCTGGGAACCCTGAACTCAAATTGGATTCACAACCAGATTCCTCTGAGTGGGGCAGCGCATGGGGCCTTCCTGAATTATTTGTTCGGGTATGACCTACGTCCTGCTGATGAAGCAGTCAGCAGGGCACTCGTTGGACGTGTGTCAGCTTTTGCTTACAATTGGTAAGACATTTTTTCTATGTTTTGATAGATACCTAAATTCAAAGATATAATAATAAAGTCTTTTAAAAATACTGCCTGCCTCGTTGGTCGAGTGGTCGCAATTGCGACTGCCGGGTAAGGAGTCTCGGGTTGGATTCCCGGGTCGGGCAAAGTATTACTGGGTTTTTAAAAAAATCTCAGTAGTAGCACGGTGTCTGGAATTGTGCCCGGTATATGGCAATAGGCTCACCCCCTATTACATGGGACTCATAACATAAATAGTGAAAAGTGGTTGTTACATTGTACAGTGATATAATGTGCACCTGTGCCTACCATTACAATGTTACTTACGCACAACTCTATTTATGTTTAAGTCTACTTTATAGGATATAAAACATCTCCTAGACAGATTCTGAGTAAAAATTAAACTACTTATATAATTTTTCAGGTCAAACAATACATGGGCGGCCATTACAAAAGACTCCACAAATTACCTCTACTACGGTGGTAATGGGGCTCCGACAGCCAACAACACTTCTATCTACGTGGAGGAACCCAGGTTCAACCCCCATGTCCAGCGCATGTCCTTCTGGAACAACCTCTATGAGAAGTTCTATGTTGCTCCTACGCAGCCTAGTTCCGCAAATATTATTGTCAGTTCTTTATTATTTATTATGCTCTGTCAGATGGCATTGCGTTTGTATTAAGTTTAGGGGGTATTAAGTATAAAGGGTATTGCCAATGTTAAAAAATCAACTGTCACATTTTTTGTAAATATGAGAAAATTAGACTTTATGTTCAGGTCTGTGTACAAAATGTTATTTGTTTATTGAAAAGCATTTAGATTGGACGCAACAAAGTTATGAAGTAAACTTATACAAGGTGTTGTTTTAAAGTCGCGTCATTTTCTAGGAGGTAACTCGGCTACCGATTCTGAGTCCGAATCAATAAAAAAATTGTAGGTAAATATTTTTCATTTTGCTGAAATTACGGAGATCCGTAAGTGCGAAGTACACGCCGCCGTTTTGTAACTAGCTTTATAACGCGGCTTAACACACACACAAACTCAAACACGTAATTGATATTATCCCTAATTCCATAAACTCCAATAAAAAACATTGCTGTCGCTTATTCTGAAATACTGTTGAACTTAAACGATTTATTATAGCCGTATTTTTAACTATTGTCCCGAAATTTTCTCTTGCATTGAACCTTTATGACTTCTGTGACATGCCCACGAGAAATGACACGGTTACAAAACTACACCTTGTAGATATTATGGTATTAGGTATGTGAGTGATGTATTAATGATGCAAAAAATAATCACAAGTGTTCCATATTTTTGCTCATTTGAACCAAAAACTAAATTTTCAGACATCATCACTACTCTTAAAGCTTATTTTATTGTATTTATGTGCCAATGCAGCTATAACGAAGGTCAAGGTCTCTTTGATTTATCGACAAATAGTTGTCACAAGTATTTTTGTCGCCATATTTAATTAAGTAAATTAGGTTCTAAGTCCATATTCAATTAAGGAAAGTGATCGAAAGTGTGTACGAAGTGGACGTATTGAAATTAACGTAAATTATTGATAAGAACCATTGTCGTAAATAAAATATCTGTCTAAGTATTGCAATAAAAAAGGAAAGATAATATGCTCAAATTACCGATTTTTTGTTCAAAGTTCAAACACACGTCAAGTCAAGTCAAGTCAAAGCATTTATTTCAATTAAACCATAATTTGGTACTTTTGAAACGTCAACAAATACAAAATAAATAATAGTCTGTCAGTCAGTCCATCAGTGAAACTAGGTGAAGCTATAAAAAAAAGGGTGTATTTATTTATATTTATTTTGTCAAATAGACCTTTTAAATAGTGAAATCAGTAAAAAAGGTACAATTTGTGCATGCATTTATCAGAAAAGATTAAACTTATAAACTTCATCAATTAACCGCTTTATTGATTGAAATTTCAGAGTCAGAGAATGCCTATAAGGGACTTTTTTCCAAAATACCGTTGAGACTGAAATTAGACTCGATATTATTCCTATTAAAATGAGATATAATAACATCAATATTAAAAATGTAATGTAAAATCTATGTTAGTATTATTAACCAATAAGTTATTATTACGCAATGTATGGAATGACCACGAGTCAAGTCAAGAGTGACGTGGCAAAGGACTATATTTATAGATACAATAAAGAATAACTGTTTTATATATTTGACTGCCTCGTTGGCCGAGTGGTCGCAAGTGCGACTGCCGGGCAAGGGTCTCGGGTTCGATTCCCGTATAGGGCAAAGTATTACTGGGTTTTTAAAAATCTCTGTAGTAGCACGGAGTCTGTAAATGTGCCCGGTATATGGCAATAGGCTCACCCCCTATTACATGGGACTCATAACATAAGTAGTGAAAAGTGGGTGTTACATTGTACCTCTACAGTGGTATTAAGTGCCGAAATGTGCACCTCTGCCTACCCGTTCGGGGATAAAAACACGTGATGTTATGTTATGTTTTAAATATTTCTGTGGCTATATTGTACCGGGACACCATGACAGCGTAAACAATCACCGCTACCAACAAAATGTATACAGCCCTAAGAATGTATAGCCCTTAGATGAATATTATACAAGAGGTATTCAGTTTTACAAGCAAAACCTGTTCGTATTAATAATTTAAAATGACTTTTGTCTTAACTACTAAGGTAATTATTTTCGCAGTATATCTATGTACCTAGCTATAAAATTAATTGCTTATAAGAAATAGCTGCATAGATTTGCAACACATTATTTGTAAAAGCAGGATTTCAAAGAAGTAGTAACGAATTGGCACTTGAGACTAGACGTAAAATGAAATCCAATAGGTATTTTTTTATCTTATATATTATACTATTATAAAGCGGAAGAGTTTGCTTTTTTGTTTGTTTGTTTGAACGCGCTTATCTCCGTAACTACAAGTCTGATTTGAATAATTATTTTTGTGTTGGATAGCGCATTTATCGAGGATGGCTATAGGCTATAAAACATCACGCTTCGATTAATAGGAACCGAGCAGAGCGGGTGACACCGCGCGGTAGCCTGTAGTTACATTATAAATTTTGTAGGCAATTGATTTACACACAAGTATTGTAGACACTTAATAATTGATCACCATCATCCGCAGCACCCTGAACGCTATCAAGGGCCTTCTTCTTATAAGAAGGTTTGTCATATAATCCCCATGCTTGTCAGGTGACCTGGGGATTGTATCCTTCTACCTGTCTCTCGAGGATTAACCGCAATTTTAATGTGGCGAATGGAACTTTTTAAATTGAAATGTGAAAGAAGCATTTTTGTGATACTTGAGTTAATACCTCTATAATAACTATTTACTTTTGAGTATTAAACATATTACTGTTAACTGTATTACTTTCCATTATATCATAATAATATATCCTAGCTTCTATTGGTCACAACTTTGTATTACAAAATCTAAAATATGTTTATTTATTTTTTGCAATGAAGTAATATGGCAATTGGCATAATTTCTGTGATGGACGATATTTAAGCAGTAATTGTGTATTTTATATTATTTTAAGTTTTACTAAAATTTATGTGTGATTTTTTTTTTCTTTAAAAAGAATAATTCAATCGATACTTCTTGTAAATATCAGAAATGAAGTCAATTTTAATTGACCCTAAAATCATTATATGGAGTAAAAAGAAATCGTAGAACATAAAAACTATTTTGTACAACTAAAATAAGAATGAGGGAAGAACAAACAGATAATTTGATTTTGTTATTTTTCACTCACCCCCTATTACATGGGACTCATAACATAAATAGTGAAAAGTGGGTGTTACTTCCGTGTGCACGTCTGCCTACCCCTTCGGGGATAAAAGGCATGATGTTATGTTATCTTTCATTGGTACCTAATACAAATATCGATACTAGGACAAAGCCTGTCTTGCTGAGGTTCCGACTCGAAGAGCTGGAGTAGGAACGGGGTGGTTTTTAGTCAGTAAGAGTCTGACACTTCCTCTCGCCTAACCCAAGGCGGGAGAAGCCATTGGATGATTATACCCCTTAAAAAAATAATATAAAATAACAACGCCTGTAAAAAAAACTACATCTAATGTCAAGTTTATAAGTCGAAGTAATAAACAGAAGTCACAGTTTTCCCAAAAGACAAAGGATTTAGATCCAAAAACAGGTGAAATGAAAGGTCGAATTTCATTGAAATGTTCTGTCGAGGGAATTCGAATTCTGTCCCTTGTTTCGTAAGATGTAATATTGTTTGTCACCGTCATGTAATCTTACTTTATCGAAAAAAAAGAAGCTGAATGTTTTGCTGTGTAAATACTAAGTACTTACGTTGCTTTTTTAAAATCAATTAAATATCCTAAATAATTAGGTTGGTTTGATATTGACTGCCTCGTTGACCGAGTGGTCGCAAGTGCGACTGCGACTGTAAAGGGTCTCGGGTTCGATTCCCGGGTCGGGCAAAGTACTACTGAGTTTTTATAAATTCTCAGTAGTAGCACGGAGTCTGGAATTGTGCCCGGTATATGGCAATAGGTTCGCCCCCTATTACATGGGACTCATAACATAAATAGTGAAAAGTGGGTGTTACATTGTACAGTGGCATAATGTACACCTCTGCCTACTCCTTCGAGGATAAAAGGTGTGATGTTATGTTGGTTTGTATATGTAGTATGCTTTGGTGTGTGACTGTAAATTGCTGAACTTAGTTTATTAGCCCCAATTAGTGTCAGCCCCAATAGCATCCTGAAGACTATAGCAGACAAATGGGACAGCCCTATACTGGGGCATTGGATACGCCTGCATGCTATTGTGGCGTAAGTCATGTTTTAATTGTAACTGGTAATTTTAAGTACTAAAACTAGTTTTATAAGTTGTTTGTTTACTAACCAAATGGATTTAAGTTGTCCGAAATAAATGAATAAATTAAAAATTAAATTAACTCGTCGAGTACCGGTTTTATAGACACAATTAAAGAACAATAGGTCGCGGTCACCGGTGACCGCTTGGTGTTTGACAGTTTAAATTAAATTTCTAACAAATAAATACTTTTTTAGACGGTACCAAAACAAGACTTGAAGGCGAAGTACATTATCTGAAAGTTCTTTTAAATATATTTATTTTAGCTATTAACCGCTTGAATGCACCAATATGAGACAATAGAAATTACAATGTGTCTCGCGTGGATCCACGTTTTAACACATGACGGGTTAATTAATATGTACTTACATGAATTATACTTGGGTATAGTTCTCAGTTCTAAGATCTAACAAACTTAGAATTTTGCACCAGGCTTACCTGTAAAGAAAAATAATGTATTTAATAAATGTTTTTATAAGTTTTTTTTTTGTTTTTTTTTTAAACGTTGCCCCACACTAGGATTTTCTCCTGTGTCATGGGTGCGTTTACAAACATACAAGTTCACATACACATGACACCCAGGCCCGAAACAACAATTTGTGGATCACACAAAGTGTTGTTCCGTGCGGGAATCGAACCCGCGACACGTTGCACGACAGCCGGTTGCCCAGCCACCGCACCAACCGTGCAGTCTACTATCGTGAGATTTACTGAATTAACTAAAAATTACGAATCCCTCTGTGATTCGAAACTAGTAAAGCTTTACTCAATATATGTACGTGAGTAACTCGTAATTTTTAGTTAGTGAATCGTACACATATACACTTAAATTCAATTTTATACCTTAACCTTACCAATGCGTTGGCAATCGGAACATTGATTGGCAATTATAATAAAATTTGATAAAAACAGTATAATTTTAGTAAAAGCCCGTTATATCATATTTTATTCGCTATTACGAGGAAAGTCGTGGCCAAAATCTAGATTTTAGTTCTAAAAAAATTCTAAACAAGTTCTATTTACATAATAATTAAACGTTTGAAGGTTAGATTACGTGGTTGTGTTCTTTGCGTGCTAACTTGGCTAACAATAGTTTTAGCCCAATGCCAGCAGAAATACTAGGTAGATAGGTAGGCAGGTAGGTGCTAGACCACTTACTGGAGGTGACAGGCTAAGTTTAGACGAAGACGTATTGTGCTACAAGGAAAACTTAATTATTATGTCATATATACTAGTTATTTCGCGCTGTTTTTGCATTCTATAGGTATTGTAATTGTCGTGGAGAACCTAACGGGTAACCGGGGCTCCGGCTCGACGTGCAGGAGAAGGAATGGGGTGGTTTTTAGTCAGTATGAATCTGACACTCCCTTCCGCCTCGCCCAGGCGGGAGCAGTCATTCGATGATTTTCCCCCCTTAAAAAAATAGGTATTGTAATTGTCCTGTAAAAGTCCCTATTTTTATGTAGGCGATTATAGACGAAGATACACGAAAAAGGCAAATTAAAAAAATCACTCCTAGTCTTTTAGAATAAAGTGAGAATTCCATCGAACAACATCGGAATGTCGACGGTCATAGAATTTTATAGATGTTAGCACATCTATGTGACTATGTTAAAATAAAATAAAAACTTGTTTAAGACATATTTAAAAAAAACTTTGCCTCACATTAGGATTTTCTCCTGTGTCGTGGGTGGGTTTACAAACATACAAGTTCACATACACATGACACCCGGACTCGAAACAACAATTTGTGGATCACGTGTTGATCACCAAAGTGTTGATCCGTGCGGGAATCAAACCCGCGACACGTTGCACGATAGCCGGTTGCCCAGCCACCGCACCAACCGTTCAAATTAAAGCAATAACATTGAAAATCAAATAAAGGAACTTGGCAAATTAGCCTACTGTTATATGCTATGCCTACTATTTATTGTTGTCTTGCCCCTACTCTCAGGAGCGACATCTTCTTTGAAAAGTAAATTGTTTTGTCTCCGAGCGGTGGAGCGGAGGTAATGGCGGGAAACGAACCTATTTCTAGTCTAGACTTTAAATAGGTCTTTGATATACGGCTAAGAGTCGGCAAGTATGTTGTGTTCTTTTGTTATGTACGAATATGATATTTCTATTTAATGTATTTAA